AAAAATTGTGTTCGCGAAGTGACCATAATCACTTTGAATGGTCCTTCGTAGCGTGCCAATTCTTTCCCCCTATTAGATCCGACCCTACGATAGACTGTCGTCCCTATCTTCAATTCCCCCATTCTGTCTTTGAGGTTCAAATTGACCTTCTCCACCCTTTTCCGTCTTTCCCTCTCTATTTTCCCTCTCGTTTTTTCCGTCACTTTCTTTATCTCTGCTCTGTTACAGGTGATCCGTTGAGCTTGTGCTTCGTCCGTGAGTGTTTCCATCCAATCCCGTCGCCGTATATTTACTCCGAACAATACCTCGACCGGAGAAAACCCTGTAACGGAGTGGATTGAATGATTATAGGCCGCTACCGCCCTTTTCATGGCTACATCCACTTCCAATCCCTGCTCCCCTTGGTAAATACGTAGATGGTCGCTTAGAGTGCTGTGCAACCTTTTGATATTTCCTCTGCCCTTTTGATGTCCTGGAGTGTTGAAGTGCCAAACTATATCTAATCGTTTAGCCTCCTCGCATACGGTACTGTTGTCGAACTCCCTCCCTCCGTCTGATGTTATGCGATCCGGTACTCCGTAGAACTGGGCCCACGTTTGAAGAGCTCCCACAACAGCCTCCGACAACTTATCTTGCACTCGATGGGTCATCGCTACCTTACTGAAGAGGTCGATCATCGCAATCCATTTAAAACCCCTCCAGGTGAATGTATCAGTTTGCACATCCTTCAATGGCATATCTCCCGTAGGGGTTTCCTCCTGTAACCCTTGAGGTGGACGTCTATCATACTTAGTGCGCGCACACTCATCACACCTCCCAATGATTTCTGAAATTGTCTTTCTCATGCCGTCCCAGAAATATCTCCTGCGCAATGCCTGAAACGTTTCCTGTATTCTCCGATGATTTGTCTTGCCCTGGTGATGCGCTAGTGTTACCTCCCTCTGCTGCTCCTTGTCCGTCAACGTTTCGACTAAGTATTTACACCTAATAAACGATCTGTCGATGCCTATTTTTTCTGATCTCCAGAGTTTCTTGATTTTTTGCATTCCCAGATGCAGATGCAGATGCAGATGGTTGCATTCCCCACATACAGGTGGTGAACCTTTCCCGGCTCCGAGGCGTCGTGCAAGGCCTTACAAATTTGTTCTTCTTTCACCCCTGGTTGGGACCAAATGGTGTTCACCTTCTTCTTTCCATACTTACTGAAGTCAATCTTCATAAGTCCCGACGTTCTGGTCTTCCAAATCACCTGTCGTCGCTTATCGTTGATGATCTCTTCGCATTCCTCGATGTCTGTAGGCCTTTCTTCCACTGAGCTCTCTTCTCCTCTCGATTCCTCTGTTTCCACATTCCCTGGTTCCCCTTCCCCTTCTGGTGTCCACGCTCTCAAAAACTGCCACACGTCCCGCGACGACTCCCCTTCTTCCTCCTCGATAGCATTTATCATTATGACTCTGGACAGCCAGTCCGCTACCACATTTTCTTTACCTGGCTTATATATGACCTCCATATTGTACTGGCTTAGAAATTGCTTCCACCGAGTGATCCTTGCCGACGATTCCTTTAAATTACCAACCCATTGCAACGGTCTGTGATCGGTATGCACCCTAAATTTTCTGCCAAAAATATACGGCCTAAAGTGTCCTACCGCCCATTCTATGCCCAAGAGTTCCCTTTCCAGGGCGCTATACCGCGTTTCCGCGTCTGTAAGCCGCCGACTTGCATACGCTACTGGCTGTTCCCCATTAGTTCCCTCTTGAGCAAGTACTGCCCCCAACGCATACTCACTCGCATCCGTAGTGACGATAAACATCTTCGCAAAATCGGGAAAAGCTAGTACCGGCTTATCTTGTAACCGCGCCATGCACTTTCTTACGTTGTCCTCTATCTCTGGCGTTATTATTATCTTCCGGCCTTTCTTCAGAAGATTATTAAGAGGTGCTAAATACTCCGCCATTTCCGGCACGAACCGATGGTAATAGTTTAGTGTTCCCAATAATCTGCGGATCCCTTTAACATCCCTGGGCATCGCCATATTTTGTATTGCCTCGACCTTCCGTTTATCGGGCCTGATCCCCTCCTTTGAAATGGAATGTCCCAGAAATGTTATCTGGTCCTGTCCCAGAATCGACTTTTCCGCCGACAACTTCAACCCAAATTGCCTTAATCTGTCGAATACGCGCCCCAAATGATTGACGTGTTCCTCTTCATCCTTGCTAAAGACCAAGAGATCATCCATGTAGACTTGACAGAATTCTTCGTCTAATCCTCTCAAGAATTCGTCCATAAACCTCTGGAAACTTATGGGAGCGTTCTTTAATCCAAATGGCATGCGAGTAAACTCGTAATGCCCCCTCTCGAAAGAAAACGCCGTCTTGTGTTGGTCCCTGGGGTTCATACGAATTTGATGATAGCCCGCCTTTAGATCAAGAGTACTAAAGATGGTGGCCTCACTAAGTCTGTCAACAATATCATCAAATCGCGGAAGCGGATACTTCTCATCTAGGGTGTTGTCGTTGAGCTTTCTGAAGTCTACCACCACTCTGAACTTCTACTCCCCCGATGACGTCTTTTTCTTCACCGCCCACAGGGGACTATTGTATGGTGACGTGCTGTCCACGATGATGCCCTGCCTCTTCAAACTCTCTAGCTCCTCCTTGATGTGGCGGCGTAAAGCCTGTGGGTAACGTCGCTCCTTCACGTACGTCACCTTTTCCTGTTTTAATGGAATCTCATGTGCCGTCCTCCCCGTTGCGCTAAACACCTCCCCGTCTTTAAAAAAAATATCCGCGTATTCCCTCTTTATCCTCTGTACCCAATGTTCCGCTTGTTCTATTGCCCCAATGTTCCCTTTTTCTCCCATTCTCCCTTTCTTACACCGGTACCTCTTCCCTCCCATTCGCACCCTCCAACACGTTCCTCTGTAATCTATTCTCGGTCTCACTCTACTCAATAGGTCACATCCTATTATACCCCCGTATTCCCTCGGCATATTCTCTACTACATGAACCCTCAACCTCCCACTTCCTGTCACCCATCTGTCTAAATCTAATTCTACTTTAATTCTACTTCCCCTTCTATCCTACATGGACCACCCAAAGTAATCAACCTACACGTACAATTTTTCTCGGTATCCTCTCTCCTTTACACAACTCCTCCAACATCTGTCTAGATACTATTGTACTAGAACTTACCGTATCCACCAGACACTTTCCCTTCCCCACAACACTTATAATTGGCAAACCAACGCACTCACCTCCAATATTATTTACTACCGCGTGGCTGCCCCTCCTCTGCTCCTCTCCTCATTCGTCTGATCTTCCTCTCCTGTCCGCAACGGCTCCTCCTTCTCCACTCTTTCTGCTAACTCTGCCTCCTCGAGCTCCTCTTACCACCGGCTCCTCCTCCTCGGTTCCAGATGTTCCCGACGAATCGTCCGACTCCGATGCCGCTCCTCTCTTTCTCCGCAATCTCTGGGCGTTCACTTCCATCGGCTCATCTCGGCCCACGTCTCCTCGTCTACTCATATACGGGCATTGTCTGGCAATGTGCCCCTCAGTTCCGCATTCGAAACATCGGGTTCGCGGGCAATTCGCCACTAGGTGACCTGTCTTTCCGCACCCGTGGCATCTCCTGTCGTCCTTTGTCCATTTCCTTCTTTCCTTTCCTGGCTTTTTCTCCCTCATTGCCGTTCTTTCTCTTGCACTAACTTCTCCTCCTATTTTCTTCCACCCTTCCTGTCCCGTTTTAAACCTTCCGGTTTCTGCTCTCCTGTACGATACTCTGTTCCACCCACTCTCATTCTCCTCCTCTCCCCTGGCTACTTTTTCCTCCCGCGCGCTTGCATCAATCATCTCCTGGGCACACTCCACAAAACTCTTGTCTCTAGGTAGTCCATCCCTCTTTCCCGTATCTCTACCCAGCTGAACTTTAAGGATGGTTGACAAGAACGCCATTCTTGCTCCTGTTTCCGCCGCACCCGCTACTTCCCTCGTCTTCTCAGTTACATTATTGAATCGTGCCAACAGGTTTGCGGCATATTGTCCGTTGGTCTGATACGGCTGTTTCTTCTCCCGAAACATCTGCAAGATGTCTTCTTCTGGAGCCCAGCGGCCTCCTCCAAATGCCTTCTTCAGCCTATCCTTCACGGTGTTCCACGGCGTCTTCGTCCGCCTGAATCATATTCAGCACGCTCCTCTTAACCCGGCATACCAAGGCTGCCCTCAATGCGTTGGCATCTAGCGGATCTATCAAGTTCTCTTCTTCTTTAGGCGATATACGCGATATCACCCGATCGCCTCCCTTTAGAAAGTGATTCAACTCACCTACTCCTCCATCAAATCTTTCTAAATCGGATATAGCTCTCCTCAGGTCCTGCGATGTCGCCGTTCTCACCTTCAGCCATTCCAACGTCGTCGCATGTGCTGATGCTAATGTTTCAGTAGGTAGCGGAGGAAAGGCTAGCGGTGGAGCCAACGGTGCCGCCGGTGGCGCAGTCGGCTGTGCTACCTGTAGTGTAGGCGGTACTGGCGGTTGACCTACTCCGTTCGGCATCCTTTCTTTTAATTACTTCCACGACGTGAATAAAAAGAGGAAAAAAAAGAAAAAACAACTTCACACTTAAATTTAAACCTCCCGGGTTTCGGCACTACTTACGTCTGTTCGAAACAAGAAAGATAAAAAAAAAGAAAGAAAGGTCCGAAATAAAACACGTGGTTGCTCAAATAAGACTGACTTTATTCTCTCCGTAATGCTATATGTATAGCATTACGGTTTGTTTACAACTGTTGAATAGGATTAATTGATATAACAACTTACATCTAACCATAACTTATATATATATATATATATATATATATATATATATATATATATATATACAACACATATATATATATGTCAATAATTTCTACAAATAGATAACAATTTATTTCTTACACCAACATTATCCTAAATATTTATTCCTAGCAGAAAAAGATCTCAATTAATTTAATTTTTAGGAGATGATCTACAGGAGGAGACCACCGAGCAGTTTTGGACTGAAAGCGACCTTATGACAGGATACACTTAACAAAAAAAAATAATGTGATTCTAAATTAATATAATTTAAGGATTGGGCACACTAAACTATCTCATAGCTACATAATAGAAGGAAAACTCCCACCGATGAGTACCAGCTGCCGACATCTGACATAATAATATCAAGCACACTGCAAAATTGTACCAAGAAACAAAAAGAAAACCATGAATCAATAGAGAGGACCTAAGATCGTTGGTAGGAAATTACAACACATTTGAGGACCAAATTATACAATGTTTAAAATTTAATTACATTTAAAATGAATAACTGTAAATTAGCAACGAAATGGTGTCTCTAGCAGCGGTACACGGCACCACTATGTTAAATAAAATAAATGTATGTATGTGTATAGATGTATGTAAATATATATATATATATATATATATATATACATATATATTACCTTTTTATTTAATTATTGTTTATATATATATTTTTTTCCCATTAAACCTACCAGCTAAATATTGTAATAATAATATTATATGGATAAGGCGTTGATGAACTAGATGTTTGGCGCCTATAAGTTCAAAACAACCTATCAACTAAAATAAAAAATAAATGTATTTCAATGTAAAAAATAATGTGATTCTAAATTAATATAATTTAAGGATTGGGCACACTAAACTATCTCATAGCTACATAATAGAAGAAAAACTCCCTCCGATGAGTACCAGCTGCCGACATCAAGCACACAATAATAAACTGCAAAATTGCACCAAGAAACAAAAAGAAAACCATGAATCAATAGAGAGGACCTAAGATCGTTGGTAGGAATTTACAACACATTTAAGGACCAAATTACCAAATCAGCTACATTGTATTTAATAGGTAGTCAAATTTTAATGGGCCACATCACCAGTTGATTCGAAATCATGTAACAAATAGATTGTTGCTTCCGTGTGAAATTTCTTGTATGCCATCAGCCACTAGTGTGAACTAGACACTTTCAGCTTAGAGTTTAATTATGTTTATCTTAATAATTAATTCGTTTTTAGGATTAAATAGCCAAACGTTGAGCGTTACGACGAGAGTTGGCAACTTAGAAGGCGTATAAGTTTTCTATTTCCGCTATTATTAAGTTGGTTTCACTTTCACTTATCTATATATGATATATATAGCAAGGGTAAGTATTGCGATTGTGAAAATTTTCGAGTCTGAGTTTCCAACGGAAATAAACGTTTTGAGGTACCCTGAGTCCAAATAACCAAGTCCCGAAAAATGGTCAGTGTGTATGAGAACACTCTAGCTCGTTGAAGTATGTTATATAGATAAATTTAAAGGGTGACATTAGCAAAGTTTCATTGAAATCGGTACATTCGTTTAGGCGCTACAGTCTACAGCAACGTAGATTTTTATGAATTTTTATTTCTTTTTCTCCTTTATTAACTTATCAAATTCTTTCAAAAGCTATATTTAGCATTTTTTCGTAACTCTGAATAATCAGAAATGATTAACTTTTTAAAATAAACCATATTAAAGGTACTTTAGAGGAAAACGTATATGAACATTGAGCATTTGTAAAGTGACATCAAAGGGGATAAGACCTAATTGATATTAAAGACCACTTAATGATACACCGAGTTTAATCAAAATCGTTATAGCCGTTTTTGAGAAAATTGTGAAAATGTGTTTCAGCGTTCATATAAAGTTGCATTTCCGGTTAGTCGATTTTAACTAAAAAGTTGCTGTCACATCCGGCCCATATACAAACCTTAAATACTTAATATCAGTTTCGAACTACTTTTCGTGTATGAGCTAGACTGTTAACACACATTTTGCGACACTTCAGCGTTGATATAAAGTGGCACTTCCGATTTTAAGGAAAACGTTGCTGTCACATCTAAGGCATATACCTATCTTAAATACGTAATATCAGTTCCGTAGGACTTTTAGTTTTTGAGCTAAACTGCTAACATACAAATACACAGACACACAGACGATTTTTCGGGACTTGGTTATTTGGACTCAGAGTACCCCAGAACGTGTATTCCCGTTGAAAACTCAGCTTCAAAAATTTTCTCGATTGCAATACTTACCCTTATATATATTACACATACACGTACGTGAAAGTAAAAAATCGATTTGATGGAGCTGTAAATGTGCGAAGAAAGTTGAGACACCAACCCAACCAGCAGAAAATTTCTTAAATCCAAACTCCATTTATAGGGGCTGAAGAGATGCTCAAAACCTAGGGAGAAAATGCATAAAACGTTGGGGATGAAGAAAAGAGAAGAGTCACACAATCTACTAAAAGTCATTTCACTGACTGCAACTCAATTTTAATATAAAATTTGAACCTTCTTAATTTATTTATAAGGCTAAATAAAACTAAACGCCAAAATTTAAAACTATAAAAAATAATGTGAACATTTTTTTTTAAAACAAAATTTTATGAAATATTATGATAATGTTATTTAAAGGAAATTATCCAGCTCACCTAATTTGAGTACATTTGGTCCGAAGAGGTTCCGAAATAAAAAAAAACCTAATTCAAAATCATGAAAATATTTTGTTTATTCTAATACTTGCTTTTACAAGACCTATTAGTTAAAATTTGCTATAAATGTTAAGAAGAAGGTCGTGAAGAAGGAAGATGGGTAGATTTTCATTTAATATCAGCAAGGGGGGCCCAAACCCAAAAGCCGATGGAGCATAAACCTTCCTACATCCCTCCCAAGATATTTTATTCCTCTCTTCTTCTTAAAAACAGTGGAAACGAAAGTAAAATTTACATATTCATAGATTATATACAATTACACATCCTGCGATCTGTTCCATGCTTCCACGTGTATATTAATTTGAAACTTTTCATTTTGAAAATTCTTATCTCCGTCGAAATGCGCCCCCCTCAAAAATTGAAAACCCCATCAAAAAGTGTCCCCCTTATAAATTTTGATGGCGCAACTTGCGGCATGAAACTCCTTTCTGGGGACCCCTGAGTATCAGTAACAACGGAAAACAAAGCATTGTATTGTCTCATTCATATATGAGATCAGTAACTAATCGATGTGCGTATATCTTCTGAGAATACTGCCAACAGGCCATTCAGAATATGTAAATTTAAATATTTAACGAGGTGTGTTTACAGAGATGTTATATATAGAGGATAGAGGTGGTAAATAATTACACACGCAGTAAACACTTTGACGAGTGAACAGTACATGTATTAGTTCAGGTGGCGAGGGCTATATAAATTCAAGTGTTAATAAAAGAGGAAAGAGTGGAGATATGATTGCGGTGATTGCCTTTCTCTTGGTGAGCGGGTGTCTGTGCGCGCCCAGCGGCAACACCACCTCCACCACTTCCAGTGGTTCATCTTCCAGTGGGTCATCCTCCAGTTCGGTCTCAAGTTCTTCCACTGATGGCAACGGAGTCGTCTATTCTATCACCCAGAAGTTCTCCTCTTCAGGGGTACCCAATATCACATCTTCATTAGGTATTATGCAGTACATCTTTTCTAAGAGGTTGAAATTCTGTGTTGCGGAGGTAAAGGACATCATGTCCATTTTTTTCTTAAATAATTTAGTGATTATGAAACAAATTTTAAGAGCTGAAAATTATGAACCTTTGGCTCCCCGAGGAGCCTTAAAGTTTATAGAACATTTACTCCTCTGAACAAAGACAACAATGAAATGGTGTTATTTACCTCCGGTGCACAGAATTAAGTATCATATAGTATAACTCTTATAAGAAATTTAAATTAACTCGCTTTTCTTTCAATCTACTGGTGGAAAACCAGCAGCTGCTGGCATATAATATGCAGCAAAAAAAAAATCCAAATATTTAATAAGTCAACTAAAATACTGAAATATATTAATGTATCTACAACCTTTTCTAAACGAAGAAGGAAAGGATTACATATTCAACGAATATTTTTTATATTTTCTGTTTTCATAAATTGTTAAATAATTAAATCATAATGTGATAAATATGAAACAGCAAATAAACTTATAACATCAATGTTAATGGTTAAAAACGTGACATGCGACACTTTTTAAAAACGATAATATTGCAATAGCAAAACTTGCAATCAGTAACTCCCAACCTTCAATATGTTGGTTACTTGACGTACTTTAAAACTAAGCGCCTCTAGTTCTTCCGTCATCACATCAGTTGGAGTTGAGAAGCGCAAGTTTCTTATCACCACTAGTAACGCTCTTTTCTGCTTTAGTTGGTACGTATGAAAATTCGCCTTCGTTTCTGATAGGTTTTTCATTAATTTTCGGTATGTTTCAGCAATATCTGTTATGAGATTTTTTTATCGTTGGTCATGTTAAGTCAAGAATAACTGCCAGGGCAGATTTTGTTTGGATCATAAAACAAATAGAAATATCTGTTAAAAAAAAACAAAAAACTTTCTTATGGGTTCCAGTCATTCTGGTATCTCTGACTACGAGAAAGTGGATAGAGCAGCAACAGAAGCCCATTCACTGGCAGTAATGAAGCCCTCTTATATCCCTCCATCAGATTTATTGAAACCAATTTGCATATTTGCACATGGATATAATGACATGAAACACATGTTTAGAAACTACCCATTGGTAGCACTCTAATAGTATGTCTATATTAGGAGATCACGGGGCCATCTTCTTTTAGATGCCTCGGAGGGTTACCAGGAATTGAATATGAAGCAAGGTTATAAAAAATAGGGCTGGGGTGGTTTAAATATCTGGATTGGGCCAAATCTGATGCATAAGGAACATTAAGGTCATTATGGATGATTTTATTTGTAACAAAGTAAGGAGCATTGACGATTTTACGAAGGATTTTGGATTGTAAGGATTGGATGCGAGAGGAATTTGAAGGTTTAGTGGAGCCCCATAGCTCAACTCCGTAAGTCCAAATAGGCCTTATTATAGTCATGTAAAGTAGTCTTTTATAGTTAATTGGAAGGTTAGAGCGTTTGTATAGCAAGTGTTGAAGTAGTCGGAAACTTCGAGCTGTTTCTTGTCGTTTCAGTCTGGTATGAGGATTCCAAGTTAGACGTTTGTCCAGATGGAGTCCTAGGTTATGTTGCTTTTGAAATCTTAAAATCGAGAATAATTTAACTATTTATTTGTCATACATAAAATTAAAAAAAAATCAAGTCTTAAAGTTTAGGGAGGTTTAAAAAATTGTTTGTTTATTCTAGGCAAAGTATTTACCATGTAAAATATACACTTTTTAATCATCTCTCTCACCCTCCCTACTCTCCTTTTACCCCAATACCCTCCCTCCGAACCCAATTTTTTTGTTATTAAAAAGGCGTTCAACAAGGGTAGCTTCTTCACGCCAGGCTGTGTTCAAAAGTTGGCGGGCAAGTCAATCTCAATTTTGAAGACCCCTGCCATCCATATCCTATTCCACTTCACGTATCCTT